GTCTCACCATTTCCTGCTGGCATTCAGAAGCAAACTGTCATCACAGTGGTTCGAACTCCACATTTGATGTTTATTTACCTGATAGGCTGGGAGTAATTTCAAGAGTTGACAGGAATCTGAGATGTGTGAGATTGCTGGTCCAAATTCTACCCTGAGTAGTAGCTCAAAAGGCAAAACGTGACTTTGAGGGGTGGTAGTAATTTAAAAAGCAAACAAACTCACAGCTGCTTAAAAGAGAAGGAATTAAAGAGTTTGAGAGAATGTTCAGAGGAGGGCTGTTTCCCAAACAAATGCTCTTGTCTCCACATCTGTTTTTCAGTGGACTTGGTTTGGTTGCTGTTCCCGATGTCAGGGTGAGGGATACTGCGTGCAGGTTTGTTTCTGCTTCAGAGACTGATTTTAGGGTAAACTTCCCAACTCCTTCCCATGGAGAACTTTGGAGAAACCCCCACTTGTTTTAGAATTCTGCACAACTGCAAACTGTTTGATTTCCAGTTGCCTTTTCAAAAAGACTTAAAACTGAGAGACCTGCAAATATATGTCATAGAGTCACCAGCAAAATCTACGAGGATTTCTGATTCCCAGATACCACGTCTGGATGTGTTTAACTTCAGCAATATTCAGTTGTTAGGAAATGGGAACACCAGCTCCCCATACGTTAAGAAGATATTGCAGGCCATCAGTGTGGTGCAGCAAAAACAGTGGGATCTTCTCCACCTCTCTAAAAGGCAAAACCAGAACTATGCAGCAAAGACATTTTGAACTCTTATCTTCAAGAGACTGCACAAAGATTTGGACAGGAGAACCTCTGTTCTGCTGTCTGCCCTTACTTAAGGCGCTGCACATGTTAGAGGTCTGTGAATCCTTCCTCAAGCCATTTGACAAGCTGAATTGTCCCTTCTTGATACTATACGGCCAGCTGAATTTCTTACTGACATCTTTGGGAGCACTGAGATTCTGGGAGTCTGAGAGTCAGATTTGGGAGTCTGAGATTCTTAACGCAGCAGTATAAGGAAGTGTAAGCAATCCTATGGCTTCCACAGGCCATCTCTGTGTCTGTGCTGGGTTTACTGAGTCTTAACATACTCCCTTTTTTGCCATGCGTGACCAGGTCTCAACTTGGTCAGCCTCAAATAATAATTCTAGTGCAAGGTCCTCAAAAGGACTGCGTCTCCAGACTAAATCTCAAGCTATCTGTTTTGCAGTGTTAGGATACTTTTTAAAGTACCACAGGGACTCGTGGAGTCTTTGTGCGTTGCCAGCTTTTGATTCCTCAGTTAATTGAGCTGTGCTTCCTTGGGGTACCACCTCTCCAGCAAATCGTGCATGCCGAAGGTCAAGCTGAACAAAACCCTCAAGGTTCATTCTCAGGCATTACAGACGCTTCATGCAGCTGGTGGCAGAAGTCCAGATAAACCATACGATTCCAAAATAAACAACCCTCTTCCCTAGAGCAGCTTCTTCCCAGTCTTCTCGTTTCCTGTGAGACTTCTTCTGATGCCCTTGGATGTAGAAGCTGTCAATACCTTTTCTTCTTCCCAGGATTACAAGATCCTGTAGTCACAGCCTGTCTGGGAACCTCATCAATTTCTGAGTGTGTCAGGCTGGCGGAAGAGACAAATTGCTTCCATGCAACTTCCTCCTCCTGAACTACCTGTTCTCAGGAGCCTGAGTGCAATTAGTCTGTCAGTGTGGAAGCTGTCCACCTCTGCAGAACAACCTCTTTCCCCTGCACAAACTAATACCAGATACATCTGTTCTGCAATGTGCCTCTTCTTGTTCCTAAACCCGATTCATCTTTCTTACTCAGCATGTACTTTGCTTTATTTGGCATCTGCAGCTGGAATGGGAGATCTTGTAACAATTCCATTTACGACCAAGGTAAGAAGCACAAATGCTGCTTTAGCAGATCAGGTGGGTTGCAGATTTGGGTTAAGAAATGGGTAGGCAATCACAACGCACAGCAACTGTGTGCACTTCTATCAAAGTTTCGATTTCAAACCTTCTTTGTCATGGCTGGCCAAGCAGAAAAGCAGTATTTTCTTTCTTAGGATTCCAAACATTCCAAACAACTGGTATTTGTTTGCATGAACACTGGAGAATAGCCAACTTTTTGCTTTTTGATAAGGACTGTAATGTGTCTAGGACAAAGGGGAGTATGTAGCATGCTACCTGGTGGGCAGACAGCAATGTCTCTCACCTGCAGGTGTGGGAGATGCTGTGTCTTTCCGTTATATCCTTGTACTGGCTTTGATAAGAGCGTGATGTGGGATCAGAGAATTCTGAAGTTGGCTTCTCTCCGATTCATCACTTTTCTGTTCTACTTTATTTAAAGAACAATAAAAAAAAAAAATCACCAAAAGACATTATTAACTTAGCACTAGTGCTTCGTTGTTTGTTTGATAGTTATTAATATAACTGTGGGGTTTGACAGGCTGTATGGGATGAGATACATCTAGGGCTCATTGCAGAGACTCTTTCCCAGATTGTCCAGCTATTCTGAAACATCTGGGAAAGAACACACACACATCTTGGATTTTATCTGCTTAGCAAGCTACTACACCTTTCCAGTTCCAGCACTATGCTTCTACTTTGTAATAGCACCTGCACAGAAAGATGAGTTTTCACTGGCGTGTGAAGCAACATATTTTCCTTTTTTCCTTGGGTCACTAATACTTAAAACCATTAGACTGTTCTTGAGTAGCTCACTTTCTCCTTGACCCTGCACTTTCATAGAATCATAGAATCATAGAATCACCCGGGCTGGAAGGGACCCCAAGGATCATGTAGTTCCAACCCCCCTGCCTAGCAGGGCCACCAAACATACACATTCAGATCAGGTTGCCCAGGACCCCGTCCAACCTGGCCTTGAACACGTCCAAGGACGGGGCATCCACAACCTCCCTGGGCAGCCCGTTCCAGGGCCTAACCACTCTCCTAGTAAAGAACTTCCCCCTAACATCCAACCTAAATCTTCCCTCCTTCAACTTGGATCCATTTCCCCTAGTCCTGCTGTTGTCAGCCCTTTTGAAGAGTTTACTCCCCTCCTGGGTGTAGGTTCCCTTCAGGTATTGATAGGCTGCAATGAGGTCACCCCGCAGCCTTCTCTTCTCCAGGCTGAACAAGCCCAACTCCCTCAGCCTGTCCTCATAGGGGAGGTGCTCCAGCCCCCTGATCATCTTAGTCGCCCTCCTCTGGACCCTTTCCAAAATCTCTATGTCTTTCTTGTACTGAGGGCTCCACACCTGGACACAGGACTCCAGATGGGGCCTCACAAGAGCCGAGTAGAGAGGGACAATCACCTCCCTGTCCCTGCTGACCACCCCTCTCCTGATGGAGCCCAGGATCCCATTTGCCTTTCGAGCTGCCAGAGCGCACTGCTGGCTCATGTTCAGTCTCTCGTCCATCAGGACCCCCAGGTCCTTCTCTGCCGAGCTGCTCTCAAGGACCGCTCCTCCCAGCCTGTACAGGTGCCTGCGGTTCTTCCGGCCCAAATGCAAAACCTTGCACTTTGCCGTGTTGAACCTCATCAGGTTCACCCGAGCCCAGCCCTCCAGCCTGTCGAGGTCCCTCTGAATGGCATCCCTTCCTTCCACCGTATCAACCGCACCACTCAGCTTGGTGTCGTCAGCAAACTTGCTGAGGGTGCACTCAATTCCCTCATCGATGTCATTAATAAAGATGTTAAAGAGCACATAAAGATGTTAAAGAGCACTATATATAGTGCATATATATATATATATATATAAAGAGCACTTTGTTCCTGAATAAACATATTCTCCCTTGCTACCTTAACCACCAAACAGCGCACCCTTCAAAACTGTCTCTGTCCAATTCAGAGATAGGGATAACTCTTTCTCTCTGGGGCTGCTTCTCAATGAGCTCTTCTCCCAGTCTGTATATATATCTGCAGTGCCCCAACCCAAGCGCAACACCTTGCACTTGGCCTTGCTGACCCTCATTTCAAGTCCATCCAGGATGGCATCTCTCCCTTCTGTCAGATCAATTGCACCACTCAGCTTGGTATCATCTGCAAACTTGTTGAGGGTGCACTGAATCCTATCATTTACATCACTGATAAAGATGAAGAGCACTGGTCCCAAGACAGACCCCTCGGGGACAGGATTTGTCACTAGCCTCCACCTGGACATAGAGCCATTGACCACAATCCTCTGGCTGTGACCTTCCAACCAACTTCTTGTCCCAAATTGAATAGTCCCAAATTCCTTCAAATCCATATCAAATCCATATTGCTCCAACTTAGAGATAAGGATGTGATATGGGACCATGTCAAAGACCTTGCACAAGTCCCAGTCGTGGACAACCTGACCGGTTGCATCTCCTTGGTTCACTGATGCCTTCACTCCATCTTGGAAGCACACCAGGTCGCTGAGGCACAAACTGCTCTTGGTGAGGCTACACTGGATCAACACCTCATCTCTCATGTGCCCTAACACCTCTTGCAAGAGGATCCACTCCATGATCTTCACAGGCACAGAGGGAAGCTGCAGTTCCCCAGGTCTTCCTTTCTTGAAAACGGAAGTAATGTTTCAATTTTTTTCCAGTCCCCAGGGACTCACAGCCATGATTTTTCAGATATAACATCAGACTAGCAACCACATCAGCCAGTTCCCTCAGGACCCTGGGATGCATGTAGTCCTGCCTTGTGGACTTGCACACATTCAGCCTCGTGAGGCGGCCTCTCACTCGCTCTGCTCTCACCGTCAGAGGGATTTGCCCGAGGTTCACCGATGTGAGAGCTGGGGGAGGCAAAGGACTTGTGGAGAACCTCAGCCTTCTCCATGCCAGTTCTCCCTTCTCATTTATCAGTTTAAAACCACGCCGTATCTCCACAGATCGCTCTGAGACCTAAGCGCCTAAGATGGCGGCGATGCCTGTTGCTAGGGCCTAAGGTTGCCTAGCAACCGCGTTCTGCGGCTCCGAGCATGCGCAGCGAGGCGCGCTGCGCCGCGGGGCAGGCTGGGAATGCTCACAGCCGGCGGCGGCGGCGGCGGCCGCGGCGCCGGCCCCGCCGTCGCTATGAACGAGTCGGTGGTACGACGGACGCAGGAGTGCTTGGGACAAGTGATCCGCAAGCCGCCCTTGACGGATCGGCTGCTGAGTAAGCCGCCCTTCCGCTACCTGCACGACGTGATCACCGAGGTGGGCCGGGGACCGGCCTGCGGGCCCGCTCTGCTGTTGCTAGGCAACAGGGCCTCCCTCCCCCCCCCCTCCAACCCCCTCGCCGGCTGCCCCTTGCGTGGCGAGGGCGCCCCATCACTGAGGGCGCCCCCTGGCGGCTGGGGGTGTAACCCCTCGTGGGTGGGGGGGCTTGGAGTGTCATGGGATGACAGCGGCGTTCTGCTTTAGTATTGTTATCAATAATAACGCATGGTCTGTTGCTGCCAAACGCTGTTCTGCAGTAGCCTCCAAGCGCCCTTAACTCGGTCCTTTCCTTCTCTTCTCAAGGTGATCAGAGTGACAGGCTTCATGAAAGGGCTTTACACGGATTTTGAATTGAAATCAGATAATGTCAAGGTGGGTAAGAAGCTTCCTTATTTATTCAGCCTGAATAAAAATGGTCTCTGAAATGTGCGGCAAGGCACTTATGGTCTTTTCTGTGTTCCGCTTCCATTGCTTCATTTGGATGTTGTGTAGAAATAGTAGGAGGTTTTGCCTGTTGGTTTTGCAGTGCACAGAATCGGGATTGTTAGATTTGGAAGGAACCCTTAGAAGCCGTGTTGTCCAGCTCCCCTGCAGTGAACAGGGACACCTACAGTTCCATCAGGGGCTCAGAGCCCATTCTGCCTGACCTTGCATGTCTCCGGGATGGGGCATCCACCCCCTCCCTGGGCAACCTGTGCCAGTGCTTCACAGTAAAAAACTTTTTTCTTGGACCCAACTAAATCTCTCCTGTTGTAGTTTGAAACTGTTTCCCCTTGTCCTATCACAACAGATCCTGCTAAGGAGTTTGTGCCCTTCTTCCTTATACCCCCCCCCCCTTTAGATGTTGAAAAGCTGCTAGCAGACCTCCCTGGAACCTTCTCCAGGCTTATCCAATCTGTTTGTGGATGCCTATAGATTGCATCTATGTATGTAGCTAAGGCTGTGGACACAAGCTATCGTGATTAAACAACTACTTCTGTACTTGTCACAAAACAATAAGGTCTGATTTACGAGTAGATCTAGATTTTCAAGATGCTGTTGTATTACAGGGTGTGGTGGTCTTTTGGTAGAATGTGTGTTTTTATATTTATTTCTTTGAAAAATTACCACCCAAACATAGGTGTATGTAGAGGTGTATCAGAATGTTTTGGGTTGGACGGGACCCCAAATCCCCACCCTGCTATGGGCAGGGACGGCTCCCACAGACCACGTTGCCCAAAGCCCCATCCAGCCTGGCTTTGAGCACTGATAGGGATGGAGCATCCATAGCTTCCCTAGGCAGCCTCACTGCTCTCTGAACAAACATTTCCCCTTAACATATAAGCTAGATTTTCCCTCTTTTAGTTTAAAGCCATTCCTCCTGGTCCTGTCATTATCAGACTGTGAGTGAAGTTGGTCTCCCTGCTCCCTTCAAATATCAGAACGCTGCTTGAATATCTCCCTGGTGCCTTCTCCAAGCTGAACAAACCCATGTATATATGTGTGCTTTATGCACATGTACAGAAAATATTATTGCTTAATAATGCATTCTTCTGTTATGTGTGTTATAGAATAGTCTTATTGCCATTACTACAGCCATTATGAATGGCTGAGTAATGGAAGATGAGTTCAGTGCTATTGGTGAAAATGCTTTTCTTAAGTGCAAGGGTGACTTTAGGCTGTTTGCTTACATTCTAGTGCTGCCTCTTTGCTAAGCAATGCATGCTGCCTTCTCCCAATACCAACAAGGCTTAAAACTTGTCACTTATTCATGCAAATAATGCATGTTGTGTGTTGCTAGTTAAACAGCTACACCCACTGGTGATTGTTTAACATAGCAACTAAAACTATTGGCTTGCCATCTACACAGCTAGTTAAACGGATGGTTTATGCAATTCCCAAGGCTGATTATTGGCCTTGCTCTTATTTCTGTTACTGTTCTAACTGCTGCTGTGAAAACTAAAATCTGAATGAATTCTACAACGGATTGATTGATTTTGTTTATCCTTTCAGTGTTGAGGCATGTGGGTAGGTGCTGTGAAAAGTTGCTTAGCACGTGGTCTCTCATTCAGAGCACACTGTCCATTTTATTTGTGGATCCAAAAAGCAGTTTTCCTGGGCTGGAATTAGCCATGAACTGCATCAAACTGGCAGAGCATGCAGCTGCACCTCAGTGAGTTGTGCTGTGTGCATGCAAAGCAATTCATGTCACAGAGATAGAAAGGGATCTGAGTGCATAAGTAGGAGTTTTCTTGAACTTTGGGACTGTTCTGAAACAAATACACTTCTTGCTGCCAACTGCACTGGAAGGTGTTGTTATCTTCATGTTTATCAGGAAGGTTTGTCGCCTTGGGGCTAATATAACATTGTTCTCTTAGAAATGGAAAAACTGAATATTGGGCTGTTAGGCTTTCCCATCAGCTTTATATTATGCATACATGAATCAGGTTGGATGGGGCCCTGGGCAGCCTGATGTGGTACCAGATCTGGAGGTTGGTGGCCCTGCCTCTGGCAGGAGGTGGAAGCTTCATGATCCTCGAGGTCCCTTCCAATCCAAGCCATCCTATGATTCTATGAGTGTACGATTATGTGCTCGACAGAATGTAACTTTTGCTGTGTGTTCTGTAAAGCTCTCAGCACTGTTTCAGATGTTTGTTTCTATTCCAATAGAACTTTATTTACTGACTCAAGTAGATAATGAAAATTTCTTGTTTGGACAGAAAACACTGACAACATAACTACTGAAATTGATTCACCTAGGAGGAACTTTTGAATCACTTCTGTTTGAAAACATTTGTATTAGGACTGTCCTGCTTCCTTCCCTGAGTTAATAGATTGCATCTGTCCTTCAGAGGATGGACAACTGTTTTAATAGAAGGAGGTTGCAGCATTTCCTTCCTTTTTTTCTTTTTGGTTTGTTTTTAGTTTTTGAATGCAGGGAGCACTGGTGAGGGCGAAGTGGTCGTGATGTAAATGGAGACAATCTGGAAATCCTAGCTGTGTGGCAGTTGTTTGTTTTAATCTGTTTGGAAGAGCTGAAGAAGGGAAGAACCCTGACTCCAGAGCCTGCCTTCCCACGCATTTGTTCTTGTTTATGGAGCAGCTCTGGGACTTGAGACATCACTGCAAAGCTCCATTGCCACACGAGTAGATAATGCTACAGATGGCCTTTAGAAGGAGTACTGGCCTTGCTCAGCTGAGGAGTTACAGGCTTCTGTTGCTTTCCTTTCTGTTGGTATGTCTGTCAGATTAGATCCAGGTTCGTACTGGGTCTGTTGCTCCCAAGGCAGCCAGTCAGTCAGTGCCAAATCAGCTGTTTAAATGATTCTGTATAGTCACCCAAAGCCATCATCTTTGCTGAAGGATGCTTAGGGAAAGCAGTTTGTAAAGTATAGTTATAAAACCAAATCACCCCTGGTAACCGTGAAGATAACATATGTGCCCGTGTCCCTTTCACCACCATCCTTCTTATGTCTCCTTGACTCACTGTTCAGTCTGGTTTCTACAGTATATCAATATGTAAGCCCTTCACATCTGTTCTGGGAGATGTTCAGAGCAGGACAGATCCTGGTGCTTTGTCTCAGCAAGTGCAGCTGGGCCTTTGCTCCTGACAGCCCTGGCAACGCTTGCTTGTGAGCCGTGGTTCAGCTGCTCCAGTTGTGCAGTTGCAGTTATCCCTCCTGTCAGAGGTTTCCTAACCTTGAGTTATTTTAGAATCTCGTGGTTATTTCTGAATTGTTGTTTTTTTTAGGATAAAGATGCCAAAATCAGCTTCCTTCAGAAGGCCATCGATGCTGTTGTAATGGTAACGGGAGAGCCACTGTCAGTAAAACCAGCACGTGTTGTGGCTGGACACGAACCTGAGAAAACAAATGAGTTTCTGCAAGCCATTGGGAAGTGTTGCTTAAATAAGGTATGACATCACCACATACATTTCATCTACATCATTACAGAGATACGTACCTGTGTTATATATTATCAAAGCTCATTTGTAACAGTTTGACACTCATTAGCTATTTTGAATTACAGAAGATATACTGCCTTGGGATACCACTGTAATAACAGATGTATAGAATGTGGTTCATAGCAGAGTTTGAGCCAGGTCCCCACACAAACGCATTCTAGAAGTCTGTGTAAAAAACCTGTGAAGTGATGGGTGAGAAGAATCTGTGCCTTTAACAGTGAAATACTACAGTATTCACAAACTGTGTGAAGGTTCTGTCTGGGTAATCTTTGTCCAGTAATCTGATCATTTACACTGCTGTTATTTCCTTTTAGTTAACTGAATGAGACACTCTTCTTCCTTACTAATTGCTTGAGATGGGGAAGGAGGAGCTGAAATGGGCTGAGATTGATGGCACAGCTTTGTAGAGCGTTGTAATAACCAAAGGCTGAACTCTATCCATTCAAACCAAGGTTATTAGCTCTGTGTCTTTACTGTGAAACATAAGCTGGATGTGCATTGTGGAAAAGGTTTGGGTTCTAACTAGCTTGATACCTAATTTTGCTACAGCAGATAAAAAGCACCATCTGTTTATATAAGCCTAATATGCATAATGAAATTATTGCAAGAGTTGCAAAGAGATGTTTAATTTAGAAGAGCAGAAATGTAAGCTGCATTTCAGAAGAAAGAAAAGAGTCACATTGACTACAGAGTTTGGAAGAAGGGAGATATTTAATAAAGTAGCTCCGTTCAGGAAATTTTTCTGTTTCTTGCAGCTGTCCAGTGATGTTGCTGTAAAAAAGATCTTAGCTGGGGAAAGAGCTGATGCTAAAGGAAAACCTCCATCCAGTAAACCTCGAGATACAGAAAGCAGGGAGACCAAAACAGAAGAGCAAAAAAGCCGTAGGGATAAAGAGGTAGGAAACTTTGTCGGGTACAGTGGCTACCAGTGATTATTGTTTTTTTAATTCCTCTCAGTGGGCATGTTACATGTAGAGAGTAACGACGTGATAGAGATGACATGTATTGAAACTGATTACTTTTTAATTTCTTTTAGGGAAGAGGAGATACTGACATTAAAGACAGAAGTTCGAGCAGAGACAGAAAATCCAAAGGAGATGTCAAAGAGAGCGAAGAAAGAGAAAAGGAAAGTGAAAAACAGAAGGATAATGAGGAGAGGCACAAAGACTCTGAAAGGGACAACTTTAAGGAAGGAGAAAAACAAGAAAGGGAAAGAAACAAAAGCAGAACAACCAAGCAGGGAAGAGAAACAGAAAAAAGCAAGGGAAAAAGAGACGTAGAACGAGAAGATAACATTGAATGGAATAAAGTACAGGAAAGGGAGAAAAAAAATGAAGGAGGAAGAGAAACAGACAGACTGAAAGGAAGAGACAAAGATAAGACCAGGGAGAGAGAACGAGAGAAGGACAGAGAGAAGGGAAAAGACCGTGAAAGGGACAGACAGAGAGACAGAGGGAGAGATGGAGAGCATGTACAAGAGCACGGAAAGGATAAAGCAGAGAAAAAGGTAACTGAAATCTTATTTCAGAGCAGTGCTCTTCTGTTAAGCACTTTGTATAACAGCGCTTGCTTTCCCAAAGTGAAAGTTGTTGTTTTTTTTTTGTGTATGGATTTAATCTGTTAAGGATGTGGCAGAGGTTGTGTGTGCACCTTCCTGTCTGTGAGCAATCAGACTCATCTGACTGTGCTTCCTGAACGTCTGTTAAGCAGTTTATTTTCTGAACTGTGCTTGTTTGAATTCTCCTCATCGCGTTAGATTCAGTTTGATAGAGTGGAGTGGCAGCAGTTGTTGAAATTTATCTTTGTCATGCATCTTGCCAGTAATGCATGCTGTTGCTTCAGCCTTAGCTCTTGGGAAAGGTGGGGGTTAAAGAGAGTTTCTTTCATCCATTGCTGGTTGCTTGTCTCACTCTTGAGCTTACTTCTTCCATAGAGGGATCAGTTGAGCAGTGATTCTTGCTCTGTTAGGCTTCCAGGAGAGCCAGGCAGGTTGAGGAAAGCAGGTAGGTGGCTAAGAATGCTGTTGTAACGCGCCCAGTTCCACGGTACGCTCATTTCCCACTTCATATATTTCAGGCTCAGCACGTAGAATCTAAAACAAATATTTCCTTTTAGTCTTTCGATTCTGAGGAATCCAAACTTGGAAAACTGCAGAGGCCAACTAAAGCCAGTAAGTGCCAGCCAGATGATGAGGTTAATGATATAGAAGATCTGGGAAGGCAGATTTTGAAAGTGTTCCATTTTAGAATGGTTTGGAAATCTGCATTAAGGAAATTAAGATTGAAAGTTAAGGAGATGCCAAGTTTTAGGGCTCTAAAATAGGTTGTCTGGTTTTTGCTTGTTTTTAAATTTCTTATAGCTTGGACGAAAAAAGCCTACTCAGTTTGTTTCAGTTTCCAGACTTCTAGTTCTATTTCTTGATCTGTTGACTACTTCAGAAAAATGTTTATTTGTTCAAAGGTTTCTCCTTTTTTTCCTCTCCAGTCTTTCCTGGAATGCTGCTATTTGTTTGTTTGATCAGGCAGCTCAGCACGATCCAGCTGCTCATTTGCTCCCCCAGCAGTGGGCTGGAGGAGAGAACTGAGAAAGTTAAAAGTGCAAAAACGTGGGGGTTGAGATAAAGAGTGTTTAATAAGACAAAAAAAGAAAAGGAAAAAAGGAAACACACAAAGAAAAGAAAAACAAACCAACCAACAGCGTAAAACTCATTTGTTCACCACCAGCTGACTGATGCCCAGCAATGGAGTCCTGGCCATCTCACGATGATGCCGTATGTATGGGATATCCTTCTGGCCAGCTTAGGTGAGCTGTCCTGGTTTTGTCCCCTCCCATCTCTTTGTGCACCCCAGTTCCTTGTTGCCAGCCAGCTCAAGAAGCTGAAAAGTTCCTGGCTGAGTGTAAGCACTCGTTAGCAACAATTGGTGTGTTATCAACATTGTTCTTACCCTAAATCCAAGCCACAGCACCATGCCAGCTGCTAGGATTTAGGACAGGTGTTTTAATAGCAGTTGCTGTGTTGAATGGAGAATAAATCCAGTCTTTCGTTGCAGCCTGTGTTTTGCAGCTGGATGATGGTAGGGTGGAATAGGAACTTGCTGACTGCTTCTGAACGGTAGCTGTTGTTTGAGATAGCTTTGTGTCTGCATCTGCTGCTTCTTGATGACCTGAGGCAATTTGGGGAATTAAGGACCCATATGGCTAAATGTTTAAAAATGAGCCTTCAATAAATTAGCCTGAAGTAGTTCATGCTAGAAAGAAATAGGCAGCATCCCAAGTCCAGCAGGAGTCTCTGTTGGAAGTCTGTGGGCCACTGACATCATCGTGTCTTCTACATGAGATGACAAATTTATAGCTGTTCTTTGACTGAAATCCAACCAAAGTTTTTAAATTATTGGCACTTGGAGGGAGAGCTTATAAAATAGTTTTTAGCCTGAAGCAAACGTTCTTGGCCAAGTTAAACTTCCTGCAAATTGGGTCTCTAATGGAAATTCTGAGCCTCATCCCAAACTATCGTAGTGCTCTTGGGCACCACTATAATATGCTAGGGCAGTAAAGTTTCATTTCCCGTCTTAAGTGCTTTTGGGAGTGATTCCAAGGCATGTTGGTTTACTACCTTAAATCTAGATAACATGCTTTTCCTTTACTTGCTTGCGTAACAGCAGGCACTGCTTTGCTTTTAGGTGTTGAAAACAGACACTTTAGAGCAGTGCGTGACAAATGGTCGCTTTACTAGGACTGTGGAAGGGAGGAATGGTATGAAAAGGCTCCCAATGAATCTTTTAAAGCTGGAGAGCTGGGATAGCTGTGTAAAGTGATTTAGAGAAAACTGCATCGTGAGATAGTTGAGAAGTGCACCTTGATGGACTGGGGTTGATCTTACTTTCCTCCCAGTAGTTTCACAGCAGGATAATGCCTTCATATCCAGGGATTTACCCTGATTTAAACTGCTGTGGTACCATTTCAGTCATGTGAAACAAATGTATTAAAAACAGAGGAAACCATTTTTGTATTTATGCCTACAAGGAGTATTTGATTGTATTATTTGGTAGTGTGTGCTGCATGAGTATATCTTAAGCATCTATTTCTCAGCTTTTTAAAAATACGCAGCAAGTGAAACAAGTTAAAGCAACCCCCTTCCAAGCTGTGTCTGATATGCCACTGCCTGATGTGTTGCCTGCTTTCTTCTGCCCCAAGGACTGATCTCTGGTTTGTTCCTGTTGGGTTCAGTTACACAGCACTGGCTTACTATAGAGCCATAGAATGACTGAAGTTAGAAGGGACCTTAATGACCATCCAGTTCCAATCCCCTGCCACAGGCAGGGTTGTCAGCCACCAGCTCAGGATGCTCAGAGCTCCATCCAAACTGGTCTCGAATCCTCCAGAGGTAGGGCACCCACAGCTTTCTGGGCAGCCTGTGCCAGTGCCACACCACCTTCTGAGTAAAGATCTTCTTCCCTACATTTAACCTAAATTTCCTCTCTTTTAGTTTACAGCCATCCCCTCTTATCACTATTAGACCATGTAAAAAGTTGGTCCCTCTCCTGTTCATAAGCTCCCTTTAAGTACTGGAAGGCAGTGAGGTCTCCCCAGAGCCTTCTCTTTTCCCAGGCTGAACAAGCCCAACTTTCTCAACCTTTCTTCATAGGAGAGATGCTCCAGCTCTCTGATCACCTTCAGTGCCCTGCTCTGGGCCCACTCCAACAGCTCCATGTCTTTCTCATGTTGGGACCCCCAGGCTTGGATGCAGTACTCCAGCTGGGGCCTCACAAGGGCAGTGCAGATGGGGACAACCCCCTCCCTTCCCTGCTGCCACCCTTCTCTTGATGCAGCCCAGCATGCTGTTGGCCTCTAGTCCTTCTCTCTGCCATCACGTTCCTAGTCACAGCTTCTCTTTCTTCCCAAGCATAATCTTCCCTGCCTTTACATTGCAACGTGCTTCTTGTTTTCCACTTGATTTTTTGTCTTGTTTCCACCATGTTTCACATAGGTGCTTTCATCAGACGTGCTGCCTGCTTTGCAGCATAATGGTGTGGGAGAACTGGGAGAAGTGGGGACTTTTATTCAGTTTGAGATGTCCATGGAATTTCAGACTAAGTGGATTCTGTGCTGCATTCAAATTCCTTTGGGTTTTTTAATATTGTCCTCGTACAGCAAAGTTACCATATAAAGTTTAGTCATTGGTATGGCTCCTTTGAGATCAGGAACCTAGATAAGATTCTCTCATTATTCATCAAAATTTTCATTTTCTTGCTGCTAATTTTCTGAGGCCAGCCTTAAAATACTATTTCAATTTTCACAGCTTGATTTTTTTTTTTCATGTATTTTTTCTTGAACCGAAGAACCTGTATGTTACCAGGCATGTTATAGCCACCACGTGGGTATCTATAATTTTCTGGAACAACAAAAAAAGCAAATATAAGTAGGAATTAAGGAGAAACATTTGGCCAACACGTGGCAGTCAGGAGACTCCTTTCTGATTGAAGGCTGTTGCACACCACGTTGTTTCTGATCAGAGCAAGCCAGGTTGTGTTCTGTTCACTCAGTCCAGCTCAGGTGGAAACTTTGTTTGGAACAGACACTTAGAAGCTCAATCTGTCATGCTACAAAATACTACTACTAATAATAAAACAACTTTGTCTTTTGACAAGAGGTGATTCGAGCTGTAGATCTTCTGAGTGTATGGTGCTGCTCATATGAAAGTGTCTGCAGAGCAGGTATGTCATTTAGCCCTATGGCAAAACACATTGGAAAAGTCTCTTCCATTTTACAGATGGCTGCTGAAACTTTTGGCTGAAGCTTTTTGTAATATCCTGTAACTTCTGGCCACTTCTGTAACGACCTTTATTTTTGCTGTACAAACCATATTGCTCTGGAATGGGACGTTTGAATCAGCCTCTAAAGTCCTATCTAATGAACTTCTGTTGGAACTCATCTATACTAAATGAAAAATGACATAACTGCCCTTGAAGCAGCAGAAAGAATTGTTCCATGGAAATCTCCTAAACATGGCTTAGATAATTTTGTTCCAGTGCTGTGAGCTGGAATGCTGTTTGTCATAGTTGACTCACATAATAGAAGTCCAGCGTTCACATTTATGTTGTAAGAAATAGCTATTTTTTTCCTAATAACTCTGTGTTTGAGGGGTTTTAATTAACAGAAACTGACAGCAATAGACCATCATCTTCTGAGCATCTCTCAAGAAAAGGTAATTGATCAGTATAATCCTAGTGTCATTGCCACTCAGTCAAATGGATCTTTCCACGTTGCTGTTACACACTAATAAATTATGCCTATTAATAACAATGGCTATTTAGGAATAGATGCAAGAAATACAAGCAGTTCAAGGAAAAGAGCAATGAAAGTCTTCGAGCCTTAGAACTGAGCTGTATTTATGTGACAGTATTCATGTTACACAAAAACAGAAATTGTGTTTCACAGAATGGCTTGGGTTGCAAAGGAGCACAGTGCTCATCCAGTTCCAACCCCCTGCTGTGTGCAGGTCACCAACCAGCAGCCCAGGCTGCCCAGAGCCACATCCAGCCTGGCCTTGAATGCCTGCAGGGATGGGGCATCCACAGCCTCCTTGGGTTTATACATGTAATATTGTTTTATTGTTACATCTATGTATGTGTTACTGACAGTACACATGTAAATATAGCTCCTCCACCATGGATCTAATTAGCAAAGTCATCCACAACAGACAGAGGATTGAGTTAGATTCCTATTCACAGTAGTAATTATTGTTGGTGAACTCTCAGTGGACCTGATGAGTTAGAGGAAGGAATTCACAGTGGTTTATATGGTGAGCTGTTCACCTCCCTTGCTTGGGTGGGAGTGGCTTTTCTCCCCATGACTGCTGATGTATGGAGTGGCCATGGCAGGAGGAGATGTATGGAAGCAAGTGGGCACGGAGATGATGTGTTGGCAGTTGGGCTAGCTGATCTTAGAGGTCTTTTCCAAGCTCTATGATTCTTTGCCCGGAATTAGTTAGGAGGGAAGAAACTGTTCAACTACTGCTGTGTGCATACAGCCATAAAGCAAACAGCATGGCTATAATAGAGGAGAAAAGTCTGACCTCCTGTGTGTGCTGCCTGCTGCTCATATTCAGTACCAGTCATTAGTGGGACTGTCAGTAAGTTCTGCTCACAAAATCAGAGCACATGGAGCTGGAAGGTCCCTGTATAAAAGTTACTGACAGAATCTGTTTATGAGATCCTTTTGTGAATGTGGAGGTCGATTATTGCATGGAAGGAAAGGGGAATTAACAGTTTGGCAGGATTTCCTTTCAGACCATGTTCTTCTTGACCAGCTGAAACATTACAAATCATTATTTTCTGATGTCTCAGAGTGAAAATCAGCCTATTTAAATAGATTAACAATAAAACAGCCAATTGGATGGTTTATAGGAGACTACTCCTCTCCAAATAGGAACGTAATTACTCAAAACTGGGAAGCGTGTACATCCATCTAGGATCCCACTTAAATAATTTTCTTTCTGTATGGTATGAAATGAAGTGTAAGATTACTTTTTAATGACTTCACTTACTGCTTTTCAAAGTTTTGGAGCTTTGGAATTTGTAGGAAGAAGTAGGACCTATTTTATCTCCCTTTGGAAAGACTCAAGTCATAAATATCGTGGGCTTTATGTATTTGTATGCTACCATAGTGATTAAATGTTAGTGTTTTACTTTGCACCTGTTGCCAGCGTGCACATCTGGCACTACAGAAGTGTTAAGCAGCCTTTGCAGTCACTACCTGACATAAATAAATGACTGAATCTGCTCCTCTAGAAGCCTCAGCACCTACTCTCAGCTCCTTCCCCACCTGTGCTAATAATTACATCACCCAAATTGCAGCTAAATGGTGAGTGTACCAGATGCAGCTTGCAGGTCTGTAGAACCAGACTGTGAGGAGCTCAACTTTTGCCCCTTGTCACTGTGAAAAGCGGTAGTAACTGAGATGAACCACACTGTGCAGTTTGACCTTCTGTCTTTGATTTGTTTGAAACGCGTCAGCATCTTGTGAAAGGAGTCTGTGGAATACAGTGTTAACAGAGAAATGGAGGAAGCTGTAATTCTCATTTATGTTGTGAATGTGGGCATTATTTGTGGAGTTAGCAAGTAACTCTCGCTTGCAAACTTTGTGAGTTATTATTTCACACAAATTGCAAAATAAGGAGAAAATCGTGTGAAGTGCTGATCGTCTTCACGGCCCTCCTCCAGACCTGCTCCAACAGCTCCTCATCCTCCTTGTGCTGGGGGCCCAGGTTTGGGTGCAGTCCTTCTGATGGGCCTCACAAAGGCAGAGCTGGCTGGCTAGTTACTGGGGCAGTAATGTGAGGGGTGAGAAGCTGTGAGCACCTGCTGGGCCATATTCCCTTGCTGGCTGCATCCTTTAGTCTGTGTGTAACCAGAAGCCTTCTCTGCCAGTGCTGAGGTTGTTCTGCCTGCATGAGTGGCAGTCGTGCCTGCCTTCAGACCTTCTGCTGCCCAAGACTGGGGCATAAGGGGATGCAGGGCCTCCGTTCTGCCCCCATCTGTACCCACAAGCTGTACAGGGCCAGCAGGAGCTCTCCTTTACATCTTGCCCTTTCCCTGGAGGCATATGGCCACTGGATGCTTAACACAGGGCCTTTGCAGGAAGTATTGCCAGTCAGCTGTTCTTAACTTCAGGCAGTGAAAGCTGTATCCAGAGAAAACAAAGTAATCATGCTTTTGTGTGCTTTCCTGCCTTCATTTCCTGGCCTCTTTGAATTGCTTGTGGGCTTAGGACAGAGTCCTCATAAAAAGTCCTGATTTTTCCTTCAGTTTTAACTTTTTCACTTATGGATTGCTATCATCACCCTTTCTGTTCCAGCTGTACCTTCACATCACCCACTGCTTCTTCGATGGCCTTTCTGATAGGACCCATGTCTCAGTTTATCCATGTTTGACTTAAGGACTGTGTGTGTCTAGTGCCAGAATTTTTTAGTGTCTACTTCTGTTTCAGAAGGAAATTCAAAACACTTCCCAGGAAATGGAAGAGAAACTGTGTGTGCAGTGTGGCTGAAACATGGAGGGGACTCTGAGATTAATCTTAACCCTTGGGATAGCCCACTAGTAGCAAAGCATTCTATTCCTAGACCAGTTATGGCTTTGCACATGCACTGCACGTTTTGCAAGAACTCTGCTGTGGATGTGCTTAGATCACCTTTGGAAGTTGCCTTTACAGTAGTGAAATATGATCATATTTCAAGTTCATTAAAAAAAAAAAAAAAGATAGCAACCACACATCCAGCAAAAACATCTGCAAACTCTTCTGAGGAAAATAGATTCTAGGTATTTTTCCTGTGTGTGCATCGGTTTTGTAAGTATTTTTTAATGTATAATAAATGTAGACCAAAAAAATCAACACATGTAATTCAAATTTAATTTTGAATATATGAATTTTTTTTATGTGAAGACATATAGATTTGTGCTTTTTTTTTTTTTTTTCCTCTTTGTTTTTTTTTTTTTTTTAAGAGTGAAAGTCCTGCAGGAATATCAAGGCAGCCTTCAACAAAAGGATCAAGGCAACGCGCCAAACCCAGAGGAGAAGGTAACCAGCAGGATGATATTTTTTCTATTAAATATGCTGGAGGGTTGTTATCCTGGAACAGAATAAAATCCTAAACATCCTTGCTTATTATTTTGAGTGCTTGTTTTTTACCCAGTTTGCATTTATGAATCCAGTGGGATGTTCTGCATAGGTTTGGTACCTGGAGAGCGGTACTTAATTCAGTTTGGTTTCATTCGTGATGCAAAACTGCAGATGTAAATTCAGCTTCTCATGATAATTACAGTTTTCTTTCTGAATGGACTTCATGATTGGTCTAAAACTATTTCTTTGTCTATTAGTTTCACAGAAACTGTTTCTTTGCTTCATAATCTGGCAAAATTAGACACAAATGACTTCAAAAACTTTAAGAGACTTAGTTTTTGTCTCATTTCTGTTAGTGAGGGTAAGTAGGTAGTGTATCTCAAATGATTAAATGTTGCACATTACTGTACAAAAAGGAACACATGAAAGTTCCTCAAATACTTTGACCAGATCAATATTCAGCACAGTGTTTTAGTTTAAATAAGATTCAAGATGTGGCGTTTTAGTAAGATTAAAGACATTTATGATGCAAGATATGCTTTCCTATAGGTATTAATTATACAAATGCTAACCCTGAGATATTTAACTTCATCACTTACTAATGTTTGGGAAGTGTGTACTTCCTAGATTTATCTGTTCAATTTTTTTAATCCTTTCTCAAGGATTTGAAGGCCTTGGGTATTGGATTTCTTTAGGAATTGTGGGATTGTAAATGAAAAGATTACATTTGCCATAAAAAAGACGGGGAAAAAAAGCCATGTTCTGTGAGACTGACTCATTAATGCCCAGTGCAACAAGGAATTTCCCTGGGTATTCATTTGGTAAGCAATACATTAAACAGTCCACATTTGTGTTCAATTTTCTGGGTTTTTTTAATCAAAAAGATGGTTGGTTGAATTTGAGACTAGCAAAACCTTTTATAATGATTTACATAACTGGAGACACTTGTCGTAGTCCAGGTGTAACCTGGAGAGCAGATGAAAAGGAGTTGTTCACCAAAACTCCTGGCTTGTAGCCCCTTTGATTAGAGGGTTTTGAAGCAACCCTGTGTGTTTGTAGGTCTTTGGCTTCCAACAGTGTCATTACAGCTGTGATCAACTGTGTGTGGTCAGCAGTCAGTCAATGCCTACCTGTGTGACCTGCTGTAGGGAGCCTGCTTTAGCAGCGGGGCTGGACTTGATGGTCCCTTCCAACCCCTACAGTTCTGTGATGCTGCGTTGCACCTGCACTTATGTCAGGCTAGGACCTTGTGGCTTGAGTCTGAGCAGGGCAGGTTCTCTAGATATCGTCAGCACTGAATCTGTATCCCAGATCATCTTCCTTAGTAGCCTAGCCAGAAATCATGAGCCAAACTCTGTGGCATTTCTGCTGGGAGCACTGAGGAAGGAAGGCCAGGTATTTATTTGTTACCCACAGATTATCAGCAGGAAATGAGAAGCTGTTAGAGGCCCATCTTGTGCCCACATAAGAGTTGTCCATGCTGAATTTGTGGCTGTCACCTCTGTCTGGTGTACAGTGCTGCAGCCTCTGCTCCCAGGTAGCAGTGATAGAACAAGAGGTAATGGCTTTAAGTTGCTCCAGGAGAGGTTCAGGTTGGATATTAAGAAAAAGTGTCTCTCAGAAAGAATTATAATGCTTTGGAACAGGCTGCCTGGGGAACTGGAGTCACCATCTCAGGAGGTGTTTCAGAACAGCGTAGATGTGGCACTGAGGGATGTGGGCAGTGGGCATGGTGGGGTGGGCTGGGGTTGGATTTGGGGATCCAACAGGATAGATTTTATGATTGTATGATATAAACAACCCTTTCATTTTGGAGCTTAAGTCACGTTAGTGCTTATTGAAGATTTTACATCACGTCTCATTTACTTATAGGCTGTGAGGTTTTATTAATTTTGTTGCTGAAAAATATAATCTGGATTCCATTAAATGAAGCTTTATTTTATTTCATAGTGATCAACAGCTGGCCCTACCACTTTATTGAGAATTTTTATTTAAAAAAAATAAATTTGAATATTTGCCTTATAGCCCGGACAGGTCCTAAACTACAGTGACCAGACATGGCACGTTTTATGGGATCATCCAATCTTGAAAATCAGCAGCCATTATTCTGATAAATATGTTTTACCTTTTATCCACTGTTTTGGCTTCAAATTCAGTATTTTAAAATACTCTTTTCATGATGCAGCAGACCAGTGCACTCAAGGTTACCTATGTTATACCCTTTTTTTCCCTAATGTGAGAGAGTTACAGTAAGTAAACAAGGCTCCTAAATGCCCCAAGATGGAATCCTGAGGGTAGTAAAACCTTCTGTAGGTGTACTGAAGCCTGCAGTATGTTGTTGTCTGCAGCAACTGATGATGATGTTCAGACCTTTCTGTATTTTCTAACATTAAATGGAGACAAATAAATGTGCAGCAGTAGAACAGAAAGGAGTTTGTGTCAAGGCTGAACTGGTGAATGCAAATTCAGCTATTATGAAAAACAAAACTAAGTGGTAAATGAAGGAGTAGTTAAGCAATTACAGGTATGTTTTCTCTCCTGGTAATGAAACCAAGTTATAACAGCATTTGCTCACTTCTGTATATTAAAAACAAATTAATAGTGGCATTGAAGCAAAAGGGTTTTATTTTTCTATAGTTACTATTACTCATACCATAATTACTTTCATAGTTCCAACATGCCTTGCAGCAAAACCGGTTTCACATGATATTTTTTCTAATTTAGAAGTTGATCTGTAAATTGAATGTACTTTTTTAAACTTACAGTTGCTTTGAAAATAATTAACCCTTCTTTCATGGAGGTGATGCACTGTGTGTGCGTGCGTTCACACAAATGTGTGTGTGTTGGAAGAGAACTGCCCACAAACTTGCACCTGAATATTAAAACCTGCTTCTATAATGAGGATTAATGTTGCAGAAGAGAATGAGGTGAAAACCAGCATAATTTATTGCAAACCCATTTTCTGGATGGGGTGGAAGAGCTCTTGGTCTGCAGTCCATGACACATGTACTGGTCTCTCAGGGGTATGGTGTTGCACATGCAGGAGGGAAGCAATCTGGGACTTCTCGTTGAGACAGTAAAAAGAACTAATTTGGGGAATAACACGTTGGCAGGCCATGAAAGGGTTCAGTGCAACTCTTTTTGAGTGCAACCATCCAACCAATTCCTCACCCACTGACTGCTCCATTCACCAAATCCAGGTCTTGCTGAGTTAAAGACAAGGATTTTGTGTGGGGTAGCATCAAATGCTTTGCACAAGACCACATAGAGTTGACCTCTATAGTAAGAGCCAGGAAAGGGAAAGCAATGCTTGCCGTGTCAGTCTGATCTAATTGTCTGGATAATTGGAAACTGTCAAAAACTAATGTATGAATTTCCCTGGGAAATGCCATTAGTCATCTGTCTGGCCCAATCTCTGTCTCTGATAGGCAGTACCCATACTGCTGGTAGCTGTTTTTCTCTGGTGGAGTATCTTTAGCAATGGATGACCTAGTAATCATTTTAGTACATAGGATTATGTCATTACAGGATTATGTCATTAAATTCTATAAATGAAACCTTTCCTTTATGATGGAGTGAAGCACTTTCTACCCTTGGTATGGTTTTTCAGCAAAGGTTCAGACCTTGTGGGTACCTTGTAGCACAGCTGTATGGATTGGTGATGAGCTTTTTAAATGCCTTTTTCAAAGTTTTGTTAAGTAGCTCTTCATCCTGGCTTTTGTCAGCAATGGTAAATGAAAGGAGAGGGCTACAGTGTCAAAATCCTCAAAGCTAACAGAAATCAACTATAATTCCGTGGGTGGGCATGGTGGCGATGGCTTGGTGGTTGGTTTTTATGGTGTTGGAGGTCTTTTTCCAACCTTCACAATTCTAAGATTCTAACATTGCTGCTGGAGTGGACTGTGTAACTTATGGACACCCCCGATGGCAAAGGTGGATGGGAGATCCCCTGCTATTGGTCCTGAGAGCTGCAGCTTTACGCTGCATGCAGCAATTTCATCTCTTGTTCTGCAAGCGTTGGACACTTCAACCTCTAGTGTTAGTTGGGTTTATATCTGCTAAATCTTCTCCTGAGCATTCCAAACTGCTGATTTGTTGTGGTGGTGGAAATTTGGTCGCCACAGCATAGGAACTCCGTGGATCTGTTCTTTACATTTATATTACAGTCACTCAATTTGCAGAAGCACTCAATTCAATTCTTGTCCATTATTTTCAGGACCTTTCTTTACCTTTCTTTCTGTGTCTGCAGATCTCTTCCATATCTTTCTGTGTCTTCCTATTTCTGCTCCTGCTGTATTTTGAGGAATGTAAAAACTGAACACATTGCAAGTGAGGTTAAGGCTGTGTGTGTGTGTACTTTTCATATGGCAAAACCAACAGGATGTATAATCTGACAAACTGCAAAAGTAGGATTGTGGGGTTTTTTTGTTTGCTTTGTTGGTTTGTTCTTAATGCTGAGTTTTGTTTTCAGGAATTATATACAAATGGTGCTGAATTGTTTCTCCTTTGTCTCTCTTTGCCCTCTGTCACAGAATTTAAGAATCAGTGTACTTCAAAACCTCAGCTTTCTTCTTCCAGTGTTCAAGTTGTGGGGTTCATGTACTGAAAATAAGCTTTTCTTACTTGAAACTTTTTTATGGCTTCAGTATGAAATGCTTTTACAGGAAAACCCTTCCCTTTTGGAACAAACCAAAGTGCATTCCAAGTGGCACACTAACAATATTGTGTATTTTAGTACTTACTTAGGCTTTATTTGTTAAATATTGTCTTACTAGCTTTGAGGCTTATAAATAATATCTCTAACTCACTTCTGAATTGAAGAAATTGCCTTAGTTTGCAGTAATATAAGGAGTTCAGTCAGTAGATCTTTTAAAAAGTATTTGTGAACTTTAAATGTTATTTATTTGCACTCAAGATGGCTTGTGAACCTAAGGTAGCTGTTAAAGATACATTAAATGTAACAGGCATTTAGCATGGTGGGGTTTTTTTTAATTTAAAATTGTAATTGTATCATTTAATTATCAACTTCTGTTATAGAAACGGTAGAAATGAAGAGTGTGGCAGATGGGATTTCAGAGGACAGTGCTGCTAAACTGCAGGAGAAAGCTGAACCAGGACTTGTAGTAAAACAGAAAGGTAGGTGGAATAAGAGCTTGGCTGCCTTGGAAAGGCTAACTTGAGTGCTGTGCGGTCAGCCTTGAATCCGTGCAGTTGCTTGAAGGTAAGGAAGGATAAAGGTAAGGAATTCTTGCATAAAGGTAAGGAAGGGGAGAAGAGGACAAGTTTCCATGGCCGATGCTCACACTGTCCCAGGGAAAATGCTCCTGAATCCCTTGGTGACTTGTTCTGTGTAACTGCATGTTGCCTTTTTGTGCAGGTGTTTGGAAGTGTCACTTGGTGTTTGTGTTTTGGAGGAATTTTGAGGCAAATTCCATCTCTGCCTTCTTATTTCTCCCTTAAAAAAAATAAAAATAAAATAAAAAGTTGTATATGGCTCCCTAGACATGCACTGTTAATGAGATATTTGTATCCAGATACAGCATACGTGGCATCAGAGAAGCAAAATGTAGGAAGAAGAACTGAGAGTGAAGCAAAAAACTGTGGTTTTATTCGCTCCAGATCCAGACACATGAACAAGTTGGGGGAGTTGATGCCACTGTCTTAGTTTCAGCTGGGACAGTTTCCTTCAAGATTGCCTGCTATGATGCTGTGTTTTGGTTCTAGGAAAAAAACTGTGTTGATAACACACTGATGTTTATAGTTAAGCATGTTGTGCAGAGCCAAGGCCGTTTGCAGCAAAAGGCCTGAGGAGTTGGGAGGGAACAGAGTTAGGACAGCTGACTTAAACTGGCCAAAGGGATATTCCAGGCCACATGACATTGTGCAGAACGAGTTTGAAAGGGATGGGAGTTCATCTGGTTTTCTTCCCCTGCTTGTGGGCTACCTGGGATATCAGTTGAGGGTGGTGAGCAATTGCTTGTGCATCACTGGTGATATACATTCACATATATATGCAATAACTATTATCCTTTTCCTTTTCTCTGTCTTGATAAATAGTTTTATCTCTACCCATGAGTTCTACTTTGAGGGAATGAGACTTTGTGGTGCTGGGCTGCCTGCCAGGTTAAACCACAACAGTCAAACCAGTGACCAACGTGGGGCTTGACGGGCTGAGATAACAGCAGATCTGACCAGACCGTGTTAACACAGGGTGTTGGGATAGTTTAGTAATTGCTGCTCATTATGTTGATTTATCCTTATTTATGGAGCCCTCTTGGAGTCTTCCCTATATTCCTTCTTTCCCTAAAGATCAAAAGCTAGTTACAGTAGCTCTTGAAAACTCTGAATATCCCTGGCATGTTCATAGCTCCTATTGCTGTGTCTTGAATGTATTTCAGGTTATGTTTAACCAATTATTTCAGCATGTCACTCCTCATCTGCCCCAAGGTGGGATAGTTGAGTGGCACCAATGGCAGTGTCATACCAATTGGGATTCCTCATATCGTAGAATGGTTACAGTGGTTGCTTTGTGTGTGGGATATCAAAGGCTGTTTCCCACTCCACCCGTGGCCTTCAGGGCCTCATAGCTGTGTAGTCCAAGGAAATGTAGAAAGTCAGCCAATATATTTGTGTGACCTTACACAACTGGGAGAAATTCCACCCTACCGCCTTTAGCACTCAAGTGTGGGTTGCTGGAAACAGTCACTTGTGTTTGTCCCTGCTCTCCTGGCATTGGCAGTAGTTCTCAGCAAGAGAACTTTGTGACTTTTCTGAAAAACCAATGTGTTTAGTATTTCCAGATGAATTTGCCAGTGACTTTGTAGTGACAGAAGACCAGCACTGAATATACCAGGGATAGCTAAAAACTTCTCTTAGAAATAAAACAGTGCTTTTTAATAAATAAAGCACTTCTGCAATTTAGTGAGTTTTTTTTTTTTTTTCTCTTATGCTATATACTAAAGATTAAAAAAAGAAACAAAAAAAACTGTAATTTGGTTGTGTTTGCATGCTTTGGGTAGACTTTATTCAGGTAGTTTGTAGTTGAAAGAATACCAAAAAGCAATCTATGAAAGTGCTTTGTAATTCAGGTTAAGTGCTTTCCAAAGGGGAGAGAAACCCAACAGCATAAAGTGGTCATAAACTGTTACTTTTTTTTTTTTTAACTTGAAAATAAGCAGATCCTATGGGGAATTTCTTGCAATATGTTACAGGTAATTACTGCAACAACCACTTCAATAAAACCTATAGTTTCCATTTTCTTAATGCCTGCACACAATGTTTTTTCCCTCCCATTACTTGTATTTGTGGGTTCTGCTCATAACAAAAGTTAAAGCGATCCACAGAACCTTCCCTACAGCAGCGGGTAACTGGGGCAGTGATGAACAGGGAGGGTGGAATTCTCCTTTCTATCTTGTAAGCAACGTGTGTGACAGATGTCAAGATGCAGGGAGAGCAGAAATCAGCCGAGACCTTGGATATATAAAGCTTATAGAGTTGTATTTAGTTTGTAATACAATGCATTTCATTAACACATTAAAGTATAGTGCTGATAAGGCTTGAAATACTGTTGTAAAGAATTAGATTTGCATTGCCAACATGACAGGTATGACACTATTACACTTTTTTTTCATTGAATAGAAGAAGAAGCAGAGAACCTTGATCCTGAAAAGCCTGAAGTATCTGAAAATGGTGAAGTAGCCAATGATCTTCCACCTCAGGCTATCCAAAGGTTTGTTCCTGTTCTTTATTCTGTCTGACTGAAGCACAGAATGGTGTCTGGAGGTAATACAGTTGCAGTGGAAATGCTGAGTCATGGCCTGAAGCAGTGATTGAGCACCTGATGGAAAGCAGGGCCAACCCAGAGGAGCTCAGATGGATGCAGTGTACCTGAGTGACTGGAAGGGGTGAAGCCCAGATCCACCCCTTCCCAGATCTCATTTAAGGGTTAGCAGTGGAGGTGAGGGCATCTCTTGCTGGAGATCCCTGTGTTTTTAAGGCCTTTCAAAGCAGCTCTTTTCCTTCATTTTTGCATGTGGCTGCTGTGTTTGAGCTTGTTCTCATTTGCTGCAGCCAAACACTTTGCCACCCTGCTATTATCACAGTACTTTCCAGCCCATTATAGCATTACAACTGTCAATTGGGAAATAGCAAGGGAACGTTGGGCAGTTTGTGCCTGTGGCACTCAATAATGAATATTATCCCATGTATGGTTCATTTTAGTTGATTTCCTTCTATGAAGAAAACTTTGAATCTTGAATGTACGTTCTTAATCCAAAGAGTGCTTTGATGTAATCTTACTAAATTAAAAGTGATCTGTGAGGAGTCTCTTGAGTCTATTGCATCACAAGCACTTCAGAAGTGTGGTGTTATGGGTGAGATGAACTTGCCTTTCAAATCCCAGTTTACCTTTTCTTTGCCCAGAAGAAGGCTACTGTAAATGTATCACTTATGGAAATACATTTATTCCTTTTGCTGTATCCAGATTATTTTTTAGTGAGACAAACTAAGAGTTGGTTTTACCCAAAAATGATATTATTCTTGTTGAAGGTCACACTTGCTAGGTTTTCCCAGACTCCTCACAGGACAGAAGGCATTGCAATATAGGACTGTACAATGGGGATGTTACATTGGTTTTATGCATTGGCAGAGTTACTAGATTCATCTGGATATGCACGTCTGCTCCTTTGGGGGACACGTGAGCTTCCTTCTACAATATAGGTGAGAAGTCTTTTTTCTTGCAGACGTATTCCCCGTCCTAGCAGTGCAAGGCCAGCACCACCCCGAGTAGTAAAACGCCAAGAGAGCACGGAGGCCTTGCTTCCAGAAAGGTGAGGAGTGTGGGAGATGCAGAAAAGATGTTGCTAGTTCTTATACTATTTTACACTATTTTAAGATTTTATGTGCACCCCATGCGAGTGAATATCATCAGGCTAGTTGGTTTGGGCAGGAAAACTTGAGCCTTTCTGCAAATCCAGTGTATGACTTGGAAGTTACAGTTGGTGGCCACATCAGGAAGTTCAAAGGTAGATGCAACTTAATTTTTTTTGCCACTTTGAAACCGATAAACCCAGGACATTTAATCTTAACTACCAGAAGAAGAGATCTGTAAGGCATGCAGTGTATCTCGTGCACAGAAAAGGCTGAAACAGCCCCTTGAATTTATGGCCAAAATGTCTTGCAGGTGATATCAAATGAGTGCCAAGCACTAAAGCAGTGTATCCAGAAGTAATGGCAGTGAAGGAATTTGGTGTGCTGCTTTGTTTTATGGAAGGAGGTGATGGAATGGATCAGAATGGGACCTAATAGGTTTCCATGTTTGTTTTATCTCTTTCAGGAACGGTAGTAGTAAAGCATTCTCAAATGTGATCACAGACCAGCAGGCTTCTGATGATGATGATGATGACCAGTTTGTGGTGGAGGCAGCCTTGCCAGTGCCCAAAATGCCAGAGCTGGAAATGGTCTGTTAATGTTACAAATTATAGAACCTTTCCCACCCTTTGTAACTTGCTTGCTTAAGTAGCTTCTAGCTGGACACGCTGTTGAATAGTTTTGTATCATAGCAATGCCAAATATTTGCAACTAAAGCTCTCTCCCTGCACGTGTAGGAACCAGAAGTGGATCTGGAGGAGGATGAAAAGCATGGTATGTTTGCTTTTGTATATATTTGTATGCATATAGATATAGAGTAAAACAACACATTTAAACCTAGAGCTAAGCACTTAAAATGAGGAATACAGCAGCAAAGTACCTCTTGAGGGAGCAGAACCTTCTTGCAACTCTGCAAGAAAAAGGCAAATATTTCTCAAATGAAGTCTTGCACAGTTGAGCATTGGGATTTACAGCTGATGTCAAATACCTACTGTACGTCTCTCTGAGATAGGTGAAGGGGTTGGCAGGTCAAGGCAAGTTATAAGAAGCCTCTTAGGCAAATGGATGGTCTGGTTCTTAACAGTGTTTATGCTTGTGACCTCAGATATCTGATTCAGGGCCTTCCGTCCATTATGGCCACATTGCATATTATTTAGGTGGGCTTAGTTCTCTGTGTCAAAAAATTACTAACAAATTGCTATCTGTGTATACACATGTGTATGGAGATAAGACACTGGAAAAATAGATTTAAAATATCTTGTATCTCAGTAACTGAAATATAATGGAACACTGTTCATGTTGGTTTTGATGTTATTGTCTGGAATGTTTAGAATAATATTTTTCTAACAACAGTGCTGAGACATATCCTCATTTTATCCAGGTGGACTTGTAAAAAGAATCCTAGAAACAAAAAAGGATTATGAAGCATCACAAAAATCATCAAAGACAACAGAGAAGGTAAGATAGAAATGGCCTGCAAGAAATTATGACCATTAAATATTGTAATCATGACCTTTTCTTCTCCTTTAGGTTTTTTTTTTCCCATTTTTTGATCAAACTCCTCCTTTGTACGTTATACTTACCTGCATGAGTCCTTCAGGCCTCTATGTTCTCTGTGTTGTGCTTTCTTTCTTGTGCTTTTAGCTTTATACAGCATTTAGTAGTCTTCTTTAGCCTGTTTGTTTTCCAGAACAGTCCGATTTCAGCCTTGCCATAGATGCAATAGGACACACTCTACATTTATGTGGCTGCATAATTATTGTTTCAATCTTAATTGTCCTCTGGTCCTATCAACCATCAGTCATTACCTGTAAAAAGTAGGGATCTCTGCAGTTAACCATGCACAGTAAGTATTTCCATATCACCAGATGTTATCTTAGCAAAATCCAGCATACTTGAGCTTTCTAGACTGAATTGAGAAAGTGATTTCATTTCCCCATCCCAAATTGGGATAGGGAAATGGGAGAGAGGGAGGTCTAGAGAGATTCTAGGAGCAATCACAAACCAGAAGCAAAACGTTGAAGCTCCCTGATATTCATGTATTCCTTCCATCACTGGGCAGCTCTTGCTCTTTTAGCCTCGCACATCTCATGTTGCGAGAAGGCACAAAAGGCAGAACACTTTGGATCATTGGCCCTTTGGGAACATTTTAGATAAGGAGTGCAGTTCAGAGTGCTTTTACAAAGATACAAACAGGTACACAGCATTTTGGAGAGGCAGGTGCTTTTCACGTGCTCTTAAATCTTCAGTTCTACCTGCATCTCTCTTCTTACATTTACTCAGTATTAGGGATAGATGTAGTGTGGCATTCTGCACTTTTATTAGGTGCTGCAACTCAGATCTTAAGAACTAAGCTTTTAACAAAACTCTTTCAAATACCTTTCTGAAACTGGGAGAAACTTTTGAAACATAGACCACTTTTTGGCCTCCTGTTACTTTAATGAATGTAGTTCTTGGCAACAAGTTATGACATTGTGATAGGTTATGAGTAAAGTGCACAGCTGGAAAAAACAAGTCCCTGAAGGACTAAAACTCATGATAGACAGTAGACTTTTTTTTTTTAAAAAAAAGGATTTTTATCTAGAACTTGTATGCTTTCATAATCATTTCTGGCAATCTGCAGCAAAAATGACACAACTTGTTAGGATTGTGATTTTTGGGAGGGTGAAATCAACAAGTCTCTTAAATAGGGACACTCCCAAATGCTTTAGTGGTAGTGAGTTATAGTGTCATGCAGACCAGCCTTTTTGCTCCTTCCTCAGCACATGGAGGAAATGAGGAAGGTGGATGGGGGAGCACCTTCCTATCTCAGGTTTGGGGTTGCCTGAGATCCAGGCCTGCTTGGCAGACCAAAAATTCCTTTCATGTATTGCATGGTCTGAGATTAAAGAAGAAAAATAATTCTTGCAATGGGAAAGCCTTCATTTTCTGCTCATAACCCATTTTGAGTAAATACAGCTTTTTCCAGCTTGCTGAATTGAATTACAAACTATTTATTATGAAGGTGCACCTTGTATTGCCTACGTAGTGATCATTTAAATGCTCTTGGCTATTTCTAGTAAGTTCTGCCTTTATAGAGCTGTTTGGAGAAAGGGAGGAGTTAGAGATAATATTGCTCTGTTTATGCAGTAGCTCTAAAGCTCATTACTGGAGTGTGTGTTGAGCTGGCAGTTGTGAGAACAAGAGATACAGCTGTTCCTGTTCCTAGTTTTATAACTAGGTGGTGCTGTTCAATCATCAATCTCCAGGCTAAGTTTTGGAATGGCAGTAGCAGTCGAATTAGACTTTTTTTCTGCCAGTACATAATTGTATTGCAGGCTATATTGTGCTGTATTGTGTCCTGTCAAGTGAACACTTGGCACAGAAAGGAACAATGGGGAGCATTTACAAAACCTCATGGGTTTCATGTTCTGGAAGTTTCCTCTGGGAATTGTACTAAGTTTTCCCTTTTTTTCCTTTTTCTGCCCTGAATACATGTAGCTCACTAAATAAAACAATTCCCTTTTAACCCCTTCAATTCTTTTTAAATGCATATCGGCCTCTGTGTCTTTGTACAATCAATGTTTAGTCCCACTGCCTATTTTCAGTCTCTAAAACACTCATTCTGTCCTTGTTTGCCTTTTGTTGCTTCTTTTGAAGCACTGATCTGCGTTAGCAGCACTGATAATGGACAACTAATTCTGGAAAAGCAAACCTGCTGACTTCCATCACGTGAAAATTTGCACGCAGCAGTAAACTCCTGAATATCATCTGTTCTATATCCAAGCAGCTGGCTGCTGCTGCTGCATGGAGTCTTCTTGCTGCTACTGCTTTTCAAATTAAATCACAGGATGGCCTGGGTTGAAAAGGACCACAATGCTCATCTAGTTTCAAACCCCTGCTGTGTGCAGGTCACCAACCAGCAGCCCAGGCTGCCCAGAGCCACATCCAGCCTGGCCTTGAATGCCTGCAGGGATGGGGCATCCACAGCCTCCTTGGGCAACCTGTTCCAGTGCCTCACCACCCTCTGGGTGAAAAACTGCCTCCTAATATCCAACCTAAACCTCCCCTGTCTCAGTTTAAAACCATTCCCCCTTTCCCTATCGCTATCCACCATTATAAGCTGAAGCTGTTGTGATACAGAGAGGAGAAGCACAGTTTTCCTGACAGCAAAGCAAAAACTCAATGGAAAAGATGATTAAAAGTGTTCAGAGATAGTGACTGGGACTTGACAGATGAAGCCCAAAAAACATGAGCTTGAGAGACTGCTGAATTCTTCTGACAGACAGGCTGTATAATCAATGAATATTAAGATACTATAAATACAAAATAAACAAGAGAGTTAGGCAAAGCAGATAATGGTAACAAAAAGAGACTAAACAAAAAAAAAGAGAGGTAAGAAAGCTTACCCCTATCCTGGGCTCACTTACAAAAAAAAACTCCAGCAGAGCAGATCTCCAGAAGAGATCCTTCTCCACTGGTAGCCAGCTCTTAAGTAGGTCTGGGAGAGATGGAGCCAGGCTCCACAGGTGAATTGCCTTCACCTGTGCTCCTCTGGCTGACTCATGGCTCGCCTCAGGTGATCAGTCAGAGGTTCAGGCCGTGACTCAACAGTTCCCATACAGAGGCACACCTCACATGAGACCCCAGACCAGCAGTTTGGGAAAGAAGAGTGACTGGTCCGTGGGATCTCATTGGGAAGATGCAGCAAAAGTAATTAAAAAGAAAGAATAGTTTCAGGCGGTTTATTCCCGCCGAGTGCTCTCTGCTTGCAAGTGTAACCAAGTCCTGTTCTGTCGATGGGACTGTGAGAATGGCTCTGTGAGTGCTGGCCAACATGTTGTGTTAAATAGCTGTGGGTTTTGTGCCAGGTCTGGCTGTGCAGTCTGCTGGGAGCAGCATCAGTCTGAGACCTGACTGTTTCTCCCCAGCCTCTCAGCTCTTTCATTTAATTGGTTTTCCATCAAACTCTCCAGGAGAAATATCTTCTCCATCAGCATGCAACAGTATTCCAAAACGTGTTTTGCAATGGGGAGTAAAATGTGATTCTTGTATTTTGGAGTAAGATAATCACAAGTCCAGCGAAAATTTGAAAGAATAATTCCTTGGGAAATTATACCTGTGTGTCTGTCAGTGAGAATGTTTGTCTGCCCTGGTTTTATTAAACCATTCAATGCATGTAAAATAAATGAAATATTCTCTCAGCTATGTTCACTACTCCTTAAAGCCGTGTCTTTCTGCCAGAAGATGAAGAGGGAAGTGGAGATAATCTGAGCAAGGGATCTTTTGGCTGATGCTTTACAGCATCTAATGCAGCAATTACCTGATCGGTGGCTCTACCTGAATTACTGTGGATTAATCAATTAGAAATTAGCAGAAGCTGATGAAGTAATACTTAATGGAAACGTAGCACTCGTGGGCTCCTGGGGATGTTCCATACCTTTACTTGTAACTGCTGATTGCAGAAGAGTATTGTTTGTGTTAAAAGCATTTGCCTGAAACCTTCATTGTGCTTTTTAAGAAGTTTTAATAAAGAAAAAGACAAGAAAATCAAGAAAGACAGGGACTTTCATCATGTAGGTTTTGCATGTGCAGAAACTTAAAATAATATACACAATTTTCAGGTCAAACAAAAAGGTCAGTCTGGAAATACACAAGGTTTCTGCTGCCTTGATTAGCTGTGTTCAGCCTAACAAATTCCTAAAAAGACTTCCTAAATGTATTTGTTTAGATTCTAATCCTCTTACGTTAAACAGAGAAAGAAACAGATGGTACGTTTTGTATTCCACTTCATTTATTTGATGTGTGGAAAGCGTAGGCAGGTTATTAAATAGTTGAAGCAAGTGGGATCACAGAATTCCCATCTTTCCCAAATATAGGCTTTGGAGAAGAAACAGATTCGAGGTTTGTGCTAGGAACAAGTGATATTAAAATAGCTTAGCACCTGGATAATATTAACTTCAATTACAAGTGCTGTAAATCAATTAGGTACTTCTAAGCTCAGAGCAAATACAATCAATGCTGATTCTGTTTGTTCAGAGTTCTTCAGGTCATTGATTTTGTGCGTTAACCCACCAGCTGCACAGCACTGTGTCCACATCCAATGAGTGCAGGCAGTAATGTGACGTTTAGTTAACCATTTGTATTCATATCTCCCATCATGCCAGTGTTTCAAAGGGGCTCACAGTTTCTCAGCATCCTACCAGGTCACAGAATCACAGAATGGCACAGGTTGGAAGGGACCTCAAGGATCATGAATCTTCAACCCCTCTGTAAAATGCAGGACCACCAACCTCCACATTTCATAGCAGCCCAGGCTGCCAAGGGCCCCATCCAACCCAGCCTTGAACACCTCCAGGGATGGATGGGGCATCCACAGCCTCTCTGGGCAGCTGTTCCAGCACCTCACCACTCTCGTAGCAAAGAACTTCCCCCTGGCATCCAACCTCAGACTTCCCTCCCTCAACTTCAAACCATTT